AAAATATGAAGTTATATAAGAAATGGAAATAAACAGTAAAATTAAGATATTGTGAATAGAGTAGTTAGATAGAAAATTGAGATGTTGTAAAGTCTATCAAGATGTCTAGACAACGTATAATATAATACAGAGTTAAAACAGAGCAGAGGGATTAAAAGGAAGGAGGAAAGAAACTGAGAAGGCTGAAATAAGAAAGAGAATAAGAAAGAAAAAGAATTTCAATTTTTTATATTTTTTCATAAAATATACTTTAATATTTCGGGGGGGAGGGGATCTTTACTCCGAAAGCCTGTAAATCCGCCTGTGGGAGCCCTCCGTTTCCTCATATATATATATATATATATATATATATATATATATATATATATATATTTACATATATACATATACAGATCTGTACATCGCATATAATGTGTGGGTATTAGCTGAGAAAGATGCCTCTTTGTCAAAACGCAGGCTCCTTCATTAGCTTATAGTCCAGTTACTTAATTACTTACTCCTGGCTCTACAGGTCTTTGTGACCCTTGGCCTTCTGGACTATATCCCTCCATCCGTCACGGTCCTTGGCAGCATTCCTCCAATTCACGACACCTATAAGTACTATTTCGCTAGTACTGCCCACGGCAGCGACAGCTTACGGTTAAGCACTGCTTTAGTGGAATAGGTGCTGCTCGGCAGTCTAGGTATGGCGTCATATCTAATCAGCTGCTATATGGCATCAGATTAGATAAGATTAGAATCTACTATATGCTCCTGAAGCAGTGAAGCAGTAGGCAGTTGGCAGATTATGTTATCATATCGGAGCATTGTTTTTATGATAACAGTCACCTTGATATATTAGAAATATTGTTTAAAACTTAAACAACCCAATAGTAAATTTTTTGAAGCAACAAGATTATTTATTTATTTATTCCAACAACAGTATTCTACACCGAAATTCAAATATACCTTAATCAAAACAACACTAAATAAATTAAATAATCGAACAAATTCTATCGTCGGGTAAATACTAAAATCCACACATTGAATAATCGATTTGTATTTTTTAATTAAAGTACTGATTTACTGATTACTATTGATAAAACGATAAAACATTGCCAGCTGTTAATTCATTACAAATATGTGATATTTATTACTAATCAATTATGTAATAATTACTATATCATTTTCTAAAAATTCTCAAAAACTCAAAACAAAATTGAATTGACATTTATTCAATCTAAAAAAATTTCTAAATTTCTTGGCGTCAGCTATCAAATAGGTATAAGTTTCGTAGAAAAACCCTTGCCGCTTTCTTGCTCGGAATATATTGCTGATATTCCGTCTTCTTATCAACATATACTATAACCTTCAACATATTGCAATAACATATACTATAATTGATTACCTATACAACCTTCTAACTGAAACACAGAAATGGCTCCTTGAATGTTGCAATCATGCTTGGTCAACTGGATACTACCTGGCGCGATCCTGTCATAATCCCGATTCTGAAAATCGGTCAAGACAAACTGTTCCCAAACAGCTATCGTCCCATTTTCCCTACAAGTTGTTTCAGCAAAGTCATGGAATGCATGTTAAATAAAAGATTAATGTGGATTATAGAAAGAAATAATCTACTTCAGTTATTTCAGTCGGGACTCCGCAAGAAACAACCCACAGTTGACAATCTAGTTGCATTAGAGGCCGAAGCTGAATGTGCCTTTATCAAATCTCAACAGTTGATTATGATATTCTGTGATATGAAAAGGGCGTTTGACAAAAATCTTAAATAAGCTATCATCGGCGGAAATTAGAGGACAAATGTCCCGCTATATAAGGCAATTCTCCTCTAATTGTAACTTCCGAGTTAAAATAGGTTGCGAACTAACCGAAAATCTTGAACAGGTCAGAGGCATGTCCACAGGGTTGTGTCCTTAGCCAACTCTTTTCTGCTTCGCTATAAATGACATGGGACTCAACTTGCCAAGAGGTGTCAAACCACTATTGTTTGCGGATGACTTAGACATTATCTGTCGTTCGGAAAACATCCACACCATATAACGTAAACTACAAGATACCATAAACAGAATAAACAGAATCCCGTTCCGTAGATCTCCAATTTTCTGCTGAAAAATCAAAATGTCTACATTTCAGCAGGAAGAGCACACAGCAAGAAAACACTCATCCCTCTCCTAAACTCCACCTAGGTGATTCCTTTGATACCTTACACAAACAAACTAAGATTTTTGGGTATGATATTTTATCAGAAACTTACATGGGAATCATACATTACGACACATATCAACCACAGCAAAAAAAATAAATACACTAAGATTTCTGAGTGGTACCTCTTGGAGCTCCGACAGATCCACACTACTAAAACTTTATCACGTTTTGAAACTATATTATGCCGAATACCCCACACACAGATATACTTTAAAATTGAAATTTTCCATAGCTTTTGCAAAGAAAACAAACTTAACACTTCCTTTATCAGAGATAATTCAGCTTAACTTAAGCTTAATAACTCAATTCAGCTTTCTTCAGCTTAATAACTTAATTCAGCTTTAATGTTCCTCAAAAGAATACCTTTAATCAACCAACTATTAGAGAGACGGAGCATCGTTTTTAGGTTTTTGTGGATCCAAGGAGAGTTTTGATTTTCTGTTTTGTATCTAGATAAGCTTTTGGAATTGTTTTTGTATCTAAAAACGCTAGAGAATTTTCGTTCAAAGATATAGTTATGGGCAGGATTTTTATTTTGGGTAGGTATCCTTGAAATATAATTAACAGCCAGTTTGTCCTTCTAAATAAAAGAGGGAGTATTCCGTCCTCAGAACAAAGACTAAGGATGAGGCTTGTTCGAAAAGTCCCAGTTGCGATCCTAATGGCTGTATGGTGGACTGCATTGAGTTTATTTATGGCCCGATAGAGGGCAACACCGTAAATAAAGCACGCATAGTATAATTTAGAGCATACTAACGCTCCATACAGTCTTAGTAGCATGAGTCGGTCTGAGCCCCAGGAAGTACCGCTCAGATATCTTAGTGTTGCTAATCTTTTTGTGGTGGTTGATTTTAGTGTGGAGATATGTGGTTCCCAGGTCAAAAGCCAAGCCCAAGAATCTATGCTGCTTTGAGTATGGGATTATCTACTTAGATTTCGGGTGAGTTAGGGGTGTTATTTTCCTACTAAAATGTAAGCAGTTGGGTTTCTCTGTGAAAAATCGAAAACCAATGGAGAGGGACCAGTTGTTGATTCTATTAACAGTGTCCGGTAATTGGGATTGTATGGTGGTAATGTTCTCTGATCGACAAAATATAGCTAGACATTCGCGAAAAATAGTGGTTTAACTCTGCTTGGTAAGTTGAGCCCCAGGTCGTTTATCGCCATGCAGAACAGAGTTGGGCTTAGAACACAACTCTGGGAGACACTGTTGAGCTGTTCGTGGTCATCGGATAATTTGCATCCTATTTGGACTCTTAAGTGACGATGTTTGAGAAATTGTTTTAAATAACGGTACATTTAGCTTCTTATTCCAACGGATGAAAGTTCATTGAGTATTATGGACTGGTTTATGTTATCAAAAGCCTTTTTCGTATTGAAAAATATTGTTATTGTTTGTTTTTTGTTGATAAATCTATATTGTGTTTCGGTTTGCAATGTAACTAAATGATCGATCTAAAGTGGATCGGCCCTTGCGGAACCCCGACTGAAAAGTTGAATCAAATTCTTGTTTTCTATTATCCACATCAGTCTTCTGTTAATCATCCGCTACATTGTTTTACCCAAGTAACTAGTGAGAAATATACGGAGATAGTTGGTTGGTGAATGTTTGTCATTTCCGTTTTTAAAAATTAGAACTAGCACCGACTCACGCCAGTTATTCGGGAAATGTCCAGTAGACCAGACATGATTATAACATCCATGTAACCAATCCAGTGTATTACCTGGGAGGTTTTTGATCATGTCAGAATGTATATGGTCAGGGCCTTTTACTTTGGGGAGTAGAGCCTTTTACGGTACTTTTTTGCCACATTACTACATTTTTGAATTCCCACATGTTGTAAGGAGGTTGTAAGGAGAAACAATGGGCTTCATTACTAGAAGAGAATGGGAGAGTGCCAGTGGATCTCCCTAGAAGTGAGACTGTTGCACAGTTTAGGATAAAAACCGGACATGACTGTCTCCAAAGCCATCTATACCGTATTAGAGTTGTCAAATCAGCAAAGTGTCCACTGTGTCGACAAGGATTCATGACTGCTCTGCATCTACTGACTTGTTCCGGACTACAGGACATTAGAAAAAAAGCCATGACAGAAGGTGAAATTTACTGGGCTAAACGTCGCATGGCCGAATGAGCTCAAGACGATCAAGACATAAGATAAAAAAATATCTATATCTCTATTTTATGCATATTGAGACATTTGCTCTTCTTTTTTACATTATTTAAATTTTGTATTCTCTTATAGTATCATATTTTATCCTCTATCGTAGTGAGTATGTTTTGATAGATTTTACAATATCTCAATTTGCTATTTTTATTTATTATTTTCTTAATTTTTTGTCCATATAGTGGGAATCAATCAATGCGACAGAATGTTGCATATTAAATTAATAAATAAAACAAAAAAATGTTTATATACACACACACACACACACACACACACATTTTATATATATATATATTAAGATCTTTGACCGCGAGATGTGGTCTCCTAGGCCACATACCGATTCCTGATTTAAGTACACGGGGGGTCATCAGTCCTACCGTCATCAGTTAGTTATTGATATTTTCTTTAAATATGTTCTGAATGTGCTCTATAATCTCTATTAGAAATGTGCTTAATTGAGACAGACATTAAAAAATGAAATATTTTACAAGTACTTGACACCAGTTAACGGTAGTATACTTGGCCAGATATACTAGTATTTAATTGAACAGCATGAATAAAATATATATTTATATCAATTAGTTATGTGTAATTTGCATCGACTTTTAGCCTCTCATCGGAAGCATGGAGTGGGAAGGAGAAGGAAGGCGAGGTTTGGGCGATAGTGAAGACGACATACTTTCTGACGACCTTTCTTTAGTGGATTCAGACGACGAAAGCCAGCCACCAGGGCAACAAAGGAAGATATTCACAAATAGCAGGGAAAGGTGGCGGCAACAGAACGTTAGTGGTGCCTTTGGAGAGCTGAGGAAATTGGTACCAACACATCCGCCTGACAAGAAGCTCTCTAAGAACGAGATTCTTCGGATGGCCATTAGGTAACCATCACTGACTAAAATACAACACCATTTTTTTGTTATTCATTTATACATGTAAACGTTCTATTTATTTTGATGTATTATATCTTAATCTTTGACCTACCAACATCATTTGAAAATATCATAAACAAATTGGATCACTGTTGTGAAACCAGCATCATCTGCTTGTTACATATTACAAACATATGTAGTTATAAATTTTTCTCGAATGTTTCAAAGTGCTTCTGATGTTGATTTATATTTTTTTTTTAGTCATGAAACTTTTTTTAAATTCTTAATCCTCTGGTATACTTTCTCATGTAAAATTAGGACAGGGACGTACCTAAATGGGGTGAAAGGGGTAATCCACCCCCTTTCTATACACACTTTTTTAGCAGAGGTATAGTTTTATTTTTATCTTTTCTTAATTCAATGTTAATTTTACTAAACAAAAAACATTACATACATTATGGTTTCAATGATACGTGAGCGTTATTCTTTTATTGAAAAATTGCCAGTTTTTTAAATAAAATAAAATTAATTTTTACGGGAAGAACTTTGCCTCCAGTATTAATCAGCGCCGGTCCCCAAACTTTACGGTACTTGACTGGCTTGGGGATCAGGATTTGGTATGATTTATGGCAAATTAATGATAATTAATAAACTATTCTCTTAGCACTCAATTTCCTGTTGACCATCTGAATTTTCCGTGTCAATTTTCTAAAGGCAGAATTCCACTGAGGTTTTTAGGCAATGTGTAGCATGCGGCATTGAGGCATGCTACACACAGTCTTTTCATAGAAGGAACATAAAGCGACAAACAATATATGTCTCCTTGCCGCATGCTACAAGTTAACCGTTGTTGCCTGCGTCATCTCTTTACATGATTCAACGTTTCGAACAGTGTTGCCGTCTATTAAACAGCCCTCAGATCGGTGCGGTGTGTTGCGGGCAACGTGGAGTGAACAAACGAAAAAACTACATATTTTTTTAAGGATTACCATAATTCTGCCGAATTATGGAATAATAAAATCGCCGAATACAAATATATAAGAATTAAAAACGATAAGTTAAAAATGATCGGATAAACATAATTATTGCACGGTGATGCAGGTAAAAATAATTGGTTTATTTATTAATCGTTAATTTATTTAAATAGGAAAATATAATAGTACGGTGATAGAGGTAAAAATTAATTAAGAATTCGTCAACATTTCATCGCGAGCTCAGAAAACTTCAGTAAGAAAAGAATGGCTCATCTTATGAGCTACTGATTTTTTTATTGGACGTCGATGTACCCATATCAATATTATCAACTGCTGAGCTGAGTGTTTAGATGATGACACGATGATGAAGATCAGTCAATTGCTAGCAAATAGTCCGAGAGCCCATGAGAAAAAATCTACATTATTTGATGAAGATTTTAAAAGCACTTTTTGAATATTTATAACATCTTTATATATAAAATGCCCTGATTTCATTGTTCAGAACCGTGAGATCTTTTATTTCCTTTTCAGTAATGTCTTCTCTTTCTTAAAGAATAAAAGAAGATCTGGAAAATTATAAAAATGATATGGTCACTAAAATTCTTCTAAACAATAACTCCACAAGAAAAATTCAAAAAGAATTGTCCAAAGGTAGGCAATGGATGGTTGCTCTTGAAAACAGGAAGAAAGAAGTTATAACTGATAAGAAAAATATAAGAAGGGTGGCAACGGAATGGAACAGGAAGTGGCTGTTATTGTAAAAAACTTGAAACATGGAAAAAGTCCTGGGCCGGATGATATTACGAACGAAATTATAAAAACAGGAGAAGTTTTCATTAGGGAAGTTACAGAACTATTTAACTTAATTGTTGAAAAGGAAGAAATTCCAGAACAGTGGAAAACAGCAAAAATAATTTTATTACACAAAAGAGGCAATAAACAGGATATGGAAAACTATTGACCGATTTCCCTTTGTTCTATCATGGCAAAGCTTTTTACCATTGTCATTAAACAACGGCTCACCAAAAGAATCATGGAATGTATAGAGGAAGATCAAGCAGGTTTTAGAAAACGTTTTTCAACTGTGAACCATATTCATACAGTAAACCAGATGATAGAGAAAGCTAAAGAATATAACTTCTCTCTGTATTTCTGTTTTCTCGATTTTAAAAAAGCTTTCGACAGTGTTCTACATACGGGGTGGGTATGTCACCCAGGGAAGTATTAAAAACTATTACTCCTAAGGGAAGGCCTATGCAAGATAGTAAAAAGTTTTGTATAAATTATAATGTAAAAAAAAAAGAAAGTTGTTTTTGCTTTTGAAATTGTAATATTAGTGCATAAATAAAGGCTATTTTCATTTCATTTCATTTCATATAAAAAATGAGTTTGCCAGTCGGATCTTACTTACGGTAAATATTACAGCTGATTTAATGAACATTGGGCCAGTAACTTGAGGATCGAAAAGGGGAATTCCTTGTGAAAAATTGTTATTTGTTTAACTTGTTTATTTTGGTTGAGATATGTAAAAACAAAATTGCTAACGCGGACCACCAAGGAAAAACGTTATAGACAAAAAAGCAAGATTATATCATTATTTTTTTTGCCTATAGTTCGTAAACGGTGCAACAAATTGAAAATCCTCTTCTTTCATAAATTAAATAAATTATTTTTATTTTATTTTATTTTTTTTATTTCTTAATGACATTTACAACTGTATTATATAAATACATCAAGTAAATTTGGACATAATAGATATAATGACATGAATACACTTGCTGAGTAACTACCCAATGGTAGCACTCTAATGATATGACTACATTAGGAGATCACGGGGCCAGAATAATAAATTTAAATTGTGCGTCGAACGAGTACCTAAACTTAATAATTTGGTTAAGTGGTATGTTCGTTAACGACGGTCAACTAACTCCGATTTTTACCAAATTCGTCAAAAACAGACAAATTACTATAAATGACGTTGCAGCTTGCGATTGAGTTCTCTAAAACAAAAACTCATAGAATAAAAGTTATACCATCAAATTCCGCGTCCACTGAGTACTAACAGTTTTAATATAGATCAATTATATTTCTTGAATCGGGATTCGTTATTTCTTCATACAATTTTTTTTATACCTTATTATCCTGTTTTTTACATCTCTGAACCCTTATATACAAGTTAAAAAATAAAAACTTCCCACATTTTACGGAATGAATTTTCCGTTTTGAATCTCAAGGAATTGGTCTAATATTCTTTACATCAGTCGCCATTTTTACAGGTAGCAAGATCAGACTGTCCGTCCGACGAATGAGAATAAATGAGTCTCATTTTTTAAATAATAAATCTTATAAATATTTTTTTTAAAAATTCTTTTAAAGTTTTAATCAAATAATGCTGTTTTTTCCTCACTGACTCTCGAACTAAAATGAATTTTCCACGACTCTTCAAGTGTAAAATATTAAATTATACCGAATTTCTTGACCATCGATTTATAGCTCTCTTCTTCAATCGTTGTGTTTTTCTTTTTCTTATATGATTTAAAGCGATTACCAAATACGCAGCTGCCGCGACTGTTTGTAATGACATGATGTACCAAACTGAAGTTGCCTGAATGGAATCGCTTTAGTCGCATGCTACACAAGTGTACGACAAAGCGCATGCGATGTGGGGTAACGAATTCATTATGCGACATTAATTGAATTTTGTACCACATAGTCGGACGGATACAATAGGCAACAAAAGGAAACAAGTATCAAGCAACATGTCGTTCAGTGTTCCCTCAGTGGAATTCCACCTTAAGTACTGTCGGGATATTTCCAGGTCCATCCTAAGAGATACGAATAGTCAATAATTAATCACAATTCGCATTACCTAGACGCCTGCGCATTCGGTATTTTTCTTATAGCTGAATATTACATCGTTATCTAGGAAGAAGATGGCGGGGGTTCGGGATGGCGGTCTTAAAAAGACTTAAAATAGTGACAAAAATATTTTATTTTATTAGTTAAATACTTATTATTTTTTCATTATTTTAAGTTTTTTTATGACCTCCACCCGGACCACCTACATTTTCAATAATACTCATCGAGTATTCAATAAATCGTTATCATTGTTTACACTTATTTTAATGTTTAATAATAGAAATTCTTGATTTATTTATTTATTAATCTTTTCAGTTATTCAGTTCAGGTTCTACTAAACTGGATTACTTTTAAATGTATTTGAAGATCTCAGCAACTACAAAAATAATCTGTATGTGGAATACTTCTTGGGTAAATATATATATAATATGTGTATAATAATATATGCAATATGTGCGACATGCAATATGTACAATATCTGTTAAAAAATATGTACAAATACTTACTATTAATTAATACAATAGATATATTATTAAATAGTAAGTGGATTGGACTGACTTTGGATTATTATTACGTAATAAACAAGAAGGTAACCCATAAATTTTAGAGTTTATTGAGCGAGAGATAAGATCCTAGATTAACCTCACTACATCTCTTACTCCCCACTACCTCTATTTCTGTCTAATACTTTATTGGTCAGTACACTAGCAGCTTTAAGCTTTACGACGAGTCTGTGCCCGACATGTAAAACACGATCGGTAGAGAAGGTAAATCTACTTTAGTTTGCTCTACATGCAAACTAATATGCCATAAAAAATGCTGCAATATCTTGGAGAATGATGTATCGTAATAATTAAAAACCAATTGATTCTGCCACGCGAGTGTAAAGCCCTTCAGTAAGTATCAAGCTATGGCGGCCACTGAGATGTCAGAGGAGAGTAATACCTCTATATTGGCTAAGGTAAAAAAAAAAATAGCTAGGAATATTAAAGAGGTCAAGATAGGAAAGCAGAGTGACTTAGCATTTGAAAATTGCGAGAAATTAAGAAAGATTAAAGAATTGGCACTTAAACAAGAAAAAAGTATTGAAAATCTGTTAATTCAGAACACAACTGTTAAATCTCAAATAAATGTCCTCGAGGCTAGGCTTAATCAAGCCAAGCAAGCACAACTAGCAAAC